AAGTACTGGGTATCTCAAGATAACTGGCAATGAACCTGGAAAAATCTAATGAAGGTAAACACTTATTTAATAATGCCCCAGATTTGTCTGGCACACCATACATGGAGATACGACAGCAACCTGCTGTGAGCAGTTGGGCTTTTTGAGAGTCCCCAAAAGTGCGTCATATAAAACGTGGCCCCTTCCCTGCCCCAGCTCGGTGCCGCTGTGATATTCTGATGGCAGTAGTGTCAGAGCTTTCATTATTGTCAAACATGGGGTGTGGGGCATGTTTCATGATGAGATGATAGGTAAAAGATGCTTCCTAGCTAGTGATGAGTGTAATGTGCAGTGCACCTACAACACAAGTTTTAGTTTTTGCTGTGTACAATAAACTTTAATTTTCCTCTCATTAGAATATAAGACATGGGGTGCTGTCTCTTCTTTTTTTTTCTCAGATCTTTCAAAGTCTGTGTTGCATTTATTTCATTATTGGGCTTTTCCTGTGTTGAACGTCTAGAAACAAAAAACCATGAATAATTTTGGTCTGTACTTCCAAATATTATTTCCTGTCCTTTTTAGAATCTCTTTTTCCTGGTATGTAGCAGATCTTAACAGAAGTCATTGGGAAACGCACAGTGATCTCTTTACAAAGAAGCGAATGGCTACAATATTCTTTTTTTTCTTGTTAGGACTGTATTTTGGCTAATGCATAGTAGTTTCTTCCACATGTATGAATAGTGGACACTTTAGGAGAGGACATTCCTCTGATTTTTACATAGAATTACTCAGTGGGGAAACTTTTCAGTGGCTTCTTTGCCTTGTAACCATTTTCTCTGCCGTCTGGCTCAAGGAGGGGGGCAATGTTTATGTAAAGTCTAGTGTTTCCTAGCATTTTATTTTCAGACCTTACGTACATGAAATGCTTGTGGTCACCATCACTGGTTCACCACATGAAGTTGCCTAATCACATGTATGCTGTGTTGTCAGAGTGAGGGGAGCGGCTAGGAAATCTTAGAAAAAGCCGCTTGTCTCTTTTGTTTATTGGTGCCAGAAGCCTTTCTGTGATGGTAGATTGTATCCCTCTGTATCCTGCCTTGAGTAGCAGAGCTGTAGCTGAGATTTGCCATGTGGTGGACAGTGAGCAATCACTTTTCCTTGGCTTATACATTGTGTCCATGCTTTCACAAGACCAGTTGTTTCTGCAGATCATATAGTGACACATCAGCTGGGAATTTCAAAGGTGTCCAGAAGAGCTGGTCTTAGGGTGCTGTGAGAATCTCCATCTTCATCAACACACTTTTATTATGTGCGGTTTCACTTTCACAAAGTGGCTGTATATTTTCATTTAAAAAAAAAAAAAGGGGGAGTAGTAATAACCACGTACTGGAACATATATAGCACAAATCATACTACAGCTCCTTTTTAAAGTAATTTTAAAAACCTTTAACTAAAGCAAACAAAGCTCTGAAGCTGTATTGCTGTGTGGTCTGCCCTGTCATCTCTTCCTTTACAGAACCCTAATTTTTCCATATTGATATAGGCTGCCTCCTCATTCTATGGGCTTCCTAAACGTAGATGTCAGCTTACAGTGGATTTATTTTAGGTGGGGTTGGAGTGCCAATTAGGAGAGCACTAGAAAAGTCTGGCAAAGAAGGTATGCTCACTTACTGCATAAAGAGAAACAGAGCTTTTGCTGGTGAAAAATTCATGGTGACACATGTACATTTCTAACAGACGACTTCTTCTCTAGCTGCTCTTTCACTGATGCAAGTCCATAATGCCAATCAAATTTGCATACTGCTGTGAAACACTACATCAGGCCTTATTATTCTAGTTCAGGTAGGCCATGTCCTCAGAGACAAGCCATCTGAGCCTCTTTGGACTGGTGAGGTAGAGGTGAAGAAAGCTTTCTGTTCAGTGTTGGTCCCATATGCTATGGCTACAGGAGGAAAAACATAGCTATGTTTAGGTGTGTAGCAGGGATATAATTACCAACCAGGATATTTTAACCAGGTTTAAACCAGGTAGTGAGGTATTGGAAGCCATATGGGGCTCTTTCCATGTCAGTGCTGGTATCATTCCCATCACCACTGGGGCTGAAGTGATGGAAAGTTTATATGAAAAGTTAGTGTAGACTTTGTGCTAAGTAAAATACATTTATACGTAATCAGCACTCTAATTTTTTTGCAGCCAAGTTTCCTGCTGAAACATTCATCAATATGCTAGCAAGGAAATGTGTGTCAGAAGTGGGTGTAGCTTGTGGGGTCTGCTCCAGCAGAGAGGGGAGTCTGGCTTTCTGAGAATGCTTGTTGCTGGCAGTCCAGCCCATTCATCCCTATTCCCTCCTTCTAGGTTGAGATTCTGGGTGAGTTACTTGACTAAATCTGAATGCTTCTGCTTGAGCCTGACCTGCAGCTATGTTGAGTGGTCCTGTTTTACACATGCTGGGCGCGTCTTCACAAGACGCTTAATTCCCACTGAACTAATTCTACTGCACGTTAGCACAGCTGGCAAAAGCCATGGTCATGCACTGATGTGCATGATTAGTCCAGCGAGCATTAAGCATCACACAGAAAAAGCGTTCATCTGCACTAATGCGCAGTAGTGCCGATTTAAGGCACATAAAGTTAGTACTTGTTATTACAGGTACTAAACTTAATGCACCGTAATTATAGCACATAAACAAATGTGTAGACTCACCCACTTTGTTGAGGAATAGGCCATGATCTGTAATGCATACAGCATTTGCCTCTGAGTGCTTAGTAATAACTTCATAAAGGACAAGAGACTTTGTAAAGATTTCCTTTACTTCCAGCCTGGGGTTTTGCAGCCTGAAACTGTGGGTCTCAGAGGAAAGGGTATTGTGTAGGTAACATAAACAGCACTAATAAAACACAGCAGGGAGAAGATCATAGGGTCACCCACAAGGAATCAGGAGGGGCTAAAAATCATATAATTGGGGTCAGCAAATTCCTCACTCCAAGGCATTTCTGCAGGAAAAGTGTGCCCCTGGAATGCATTAGGAGATGCAGGAACACTGAATGTGCTCCAGATGAGGCTGAAGTAGGAAGTCTGGGCTGCAGCAATGCCTTAAGACCATGTATAGTTAAACCTATTGAGATCAGCAGCAGTTTGGAAGCAATAAAGCCTTAGTTAACATGTATTTCTTCATCCTTGACTCGTGTGATGAGATGCATTAGGCATCTGGCTTTGTAATGATGCAGACTTCCCCAACTGTGTGAAAGACAGCTCAGCTCTCCCTCAGTAAGGAGTCGGGGGGTGGGGGAGGAAAGGCTTAACACTGTGTTTACTGCCCCTATTCTGTGGTGCTGGATGTAGAGTTATACTCTTGCTTTCTGTGAGCAAACTCAGTGTACAAAAGCTTAGGACCCTGGGTGTTTCAACAGCCCTGTTGTGGGTTGATTTTGCTGGGTTTTGTTACCAGCAGACACCTTGCAGGGATACAACAGTCTATTGTGTCGAATTGTCCTCTCTCAGCAAATCTGCAGGGGACCATGTCTTCAAAGGTTAGATAAACGGGGCTGGGCTGCATTGCCAATGCTGATTTTTCTCCTCTTTAATGTATTGACAAGTGCAGGTGGCAGGGCTTCTGAAGTGGATTGAATACAATGCAAACTGCTTGCAGTACTTAGCAAAGCCATTGTGCTTTCAAGCCATTGAGTGCTGAGCAAGCTCACTTGACAGATGAAATGGGGAGGAGGATGAGCTTCACATGCCTGACTGCTAGTCATGCCTGATTCCTGAACAGCCCTCTGGGGAAGGAGCTGACTTCATCTGCTCGGAGATATCGAGGGAAATCTTTGTCACCATTGCACTGGCATCCAGTCGTTCTCCCTCATCAGTGGAGAAGTACAAACATAGGTCAGTCGCAGGTTTTCTTGTTGCCGCCTAAAGCCCTGTGGTGTTCAACACCCTGTGGTTAGTCCACGCCAGGGCTCTTGTTAGTAAGCACACTACTTTGGTGCAAGAGTAATTTTTCTCTTTGTAGTCAAGGCCATGGGCGCTGCTGTGCTGGCCTTTGCCACTCCCTGAGCCTGGTCCCAGCAGAAACAGTCCCTCAGTGATCCATGAGAAGCTTGTATTGACTGCACATTATTACCTAATTGGACATACAGGAAGGGGGAATAGAATAGATGACATACTGACTGCTATAACTTGCATGTGGCAGAGCCTGTACATCAAAAAAACCCCTTTCTTTTGGATATAGAAAGCATTGGAGGGTTCACTTCCTCCTAACTTCCTTTGCTTTTCTGGGGCTGAATTAAGGCTTGTGTCTAAATATGTGCTACATATAGAAAACTGGTTCTCTCCCCTCTCCCTTTGGACAGCCTACGTAATAGCTATATAGCTGAATAAGTCCTTCTGTTAATTGGAAGCATGAATGATAGCTGATTAGCATTGCGTCATGAGGTCTCGTGGTTTAATCTGCCTGGTGTGCTGTGGCGTGTGGGATGATCCGTAAGAACTGTTTACGTGTGGTATGTAAGGACTGCTGTCTGGGCCACACATTAAGGTTGTAGGGCTTGTTGCTTTGTATCTGCTCTGTGTGGTTGTATGTTGACTGTGATCTGTATTTTCAGTAACTTGTACCCTGCTGAGGAAGGCTTCTGTGAAGTATTTGGCAGTGAAGCTTGTAAAATACAAATGGCAAGGACTCTAATCCTAGTGGTTAGAGCAGAAGCCTGGGAATTCACTGTTTGGGGTTCTAGTTTTTGCTTGGCCTTTGATCAAATGCATGGCTGTAGGCAAGTCACTTACCCTTTCCAAGCTTCTGTTGATTTATATGTAGAATGGGTCTAATAACATTTACCTCCCAGGGATGCTGCAGGGCTTCATGAATATTCAAGTAATCTAGTGTTATGGAAAGAAAGGCGCTGGAAAGAGAGGTAGTCTTGCAGTGTTAGTTCATTAGTGCCGTGCAGATTAATTAATGTTTTACGGCAAGTATGTGTTTGTTTCATCCAGCTGGCTTATGCTTAGGACACTGACCCTTTCTCTCTCTTTCTCTGTCCCCTTGCAGGTGTACTTTTCGATTTCCTAGTACAGTCATAAAGATCCAGTTCACATCTTTATACCATAAAGAGGAAGTGAAGGAGCAAACTTCATCCCCTCAACTCCGGCCACTTTACCCTCAAATATCGCCTCTGAAGATCCACATTCCGGAGCCGGATCTCCGGAGTTTGGTCAGCCCCCTGCCGTCCCCTACTGGCACTATCAGGTAAGATGCTGGCGATCCAGGGAGGTGCGACTGAGGACGTTACTTGCCCTCCCATCCTTCCATATTATCCAGAGTCCATCCGTATTCTCTTGGTGCCGAACCTGGTCAGGCCTGGACTTTTTTACCTGGTATACTTGATGTATGAAATGTCCCATTGAAAATAAATGCTTATCTGATGTTCCAGATCATGGAAAGCACTTAAAAGCGAACAGAAAAAATCAGTGTGGCTGGAGGATTTGTTTAAGATCCCAAAACACTCGGCAAATAAATGTGTAGAACAAAACATTGAGACATAGGCATAGAATGAAACTAGTCTTGAGGGTCTACTCCATCAAGAGGGCCCTGCTAGGTTTGTTTGTGCCGTGTTGCGTTATTTATTATTGTATAGTTTATTTTCATTATCTCAGTCATATTTTGTTGATTTGTTTTATTGGATCCAAGGTGGTGTGCAGAGTTAGAGCCAAAATAGAGTGGGGGGCGGGGTAGAATATAAATCAGAAAGGGGGTCGTGGGTAGACATCGGAGTTCTGAGTGTTTTAATATGTAGTTCCTGTCCTGTAGTTATTTTAAAAAATGTACAGGTAGAAATTGGCTGGTTGGGAGATGCAAGAATTCTCATGAAATGGTAGTGTCTCCTTGTTTCTCAGCAAAGCTTATAGTGTAATGAAGTGGGATTTTATAATCCTAAAGCTCTGTTAATTGGACATAATGTAGTACATTACATTTACTAGTATAATGGACTGTATTGCCACAAAAAATAAAGACAAAAGACAATGGCCAAAATATATCAGGTGATGCAATAGCCTTGATACTTTTTTTTTTGTCTGCTTGCTTACTGATTTGTAAAATGGGATAATGGACAATGGAGTCCTGGTTTTTGTGTTAGTGCCAGTTCAGTTAGTAATGATAAAATGCATGTGGCTGAGAATATCTTGGGTGTTGTAACGAAGATTGCATTTGACTTGGCATGGGATTGGCAGCTTGTTGCTTATGTGGGTTTCCCCCCCTCTTTGCAAAATTCCCTGAATGTTCATTGTAGGTATTCTAGGGGCAGGGTAGGGGGCAGGGGGCATTTGGTGATAGTTGTAGTTTGAGCTCTCTGTTCAGGGAGCACTTTTAGTTTATATTTAACCTCCTCTTTTAGATTAAGCAAGTTACTGGGAAGGGCGAAGATTTCTTTGCCAACATATGGTAGTTTCCATTCAGTCATCCTGTGTCAGGCAGCACAGTGTGGTTTATGTTACTAGCAGCGGCTGTATCTCTGGCTCTGGCATATGTCTGCAAGTGATATTTGACTCCACAAGAGTGTTTCTGTGCATCAGGCGAAAGTGGAAATAGTAGTGCCGAATCTTGCTTGGTCCCAAACGGGGGTGTTTACTAAAGATGATGCATGATTACAGCCGTTTGTCTTAGCAGAAGCAAATCCAACAGTGTCTTGAAAAACCTCAAAAGACTTCCTGAGGTTTCGCTGGCCGAATCCCTTTCGTTCTTGAGTTCCTCCTGCTAGTGGGGCGTGGGGGCTGCTGTGTTTGTAAACATCCCTTTTCTGCTGGTGGCCCCCTTCTCTCCCCTCTCACATCCTGTCTCTTGCATTTCAGGAAATGAGCAAGATCTGGGTAGTCCTGCTGGAGCAGAGATCCCAGGCCTCCCGAATAGGAACCACAGGACAGCTGCCTCCCCGAGCTCTGCGCTCGCTTAGGCCGAGGCCAGATGCTGTTGGCTGGGGCAAGGCTCAGCGCTTTGCTCCTATTCCCTTCCTGCGCTGGGAGGTTGTTTTCATTAGCTCAGCTCTCCTCCTCCTCCTCCCCCTCCCTCCAGTATTGACTTTCCTAATTTGGTGTGTGTTTGCCTTGCTCTTCCCTGATTGGTCAGTGGACAGTGGTTGTAGTTGTGAGATCCTAGGTTGGGCTAGTTTCCTTTTTGGAAGGTGGCCTGGTGCACATCCCCCCCCCCCTTGCCCTCCTTCCCTGGGGCTGGGTTACTGTACCTGCAGTAACACACACATGCACACCCTGCTCAAAACAATGTCCCAGCCCTGCCCTGCTGACCCCGTCTCTCTTGCTCTTGCCTTTCTGTTTACATTTTAGCTCGCTTCACTCCAGGTTCTCTGTCTCAGGCCTCAGGGTTGTTGTTTTTTTTCCAGCCTACTTATTTTTACTGAGAAGCTGCACTGCCTCCGAAAGGGAATGAGCTTTAGCTAAACAAAACCAAACCTGCCAACCTCAGCAGCTGCACAATGCAAGACTCTTTCTTTCTCACTTCTAGGAGGAAACGTTTCCACCCTTTGCTTAGTCAGGGGGTACTTTGTCCCTGGGAGCTGCCATTTGTAAACACGTCTGAATCCTATTTAGGAGTTGCATGGCTTTAAATAAGAAGACGCTGGCTGGCAGCATAATCTGGGAGAGGCTGAGACAGCCCCTGGCCTTGTTTCTTCCTTTCTGAGTTCAGATTTCCTTAGAAAAAAACATTGCTGCTGTGTTCAGACAAGTTTTTTGCAAACTAGAAAGGCACCACAGAAAAGTCTGGGGTTGGAGGAAGATGGTAGAAGCAGCTTGTCAGTACATTCAGGATGGCAGCCACATTCAAGCAGGAGCATTTTCAGAGCGCTGAAATAACTATGTAAGAACCACATGCCGGCAGGCTAAATTAATTTCTGTCTGGTGTGTTGTGAGAGCCAGGTATACTTCACATCTCATGCATTTACCTGTGATGTCAAACCTGCATAGGAAATGTCCCCTTTGGATCATCAAGGGACATGAGGAAGGTCATGTGATACCTGAAAGCTTGTCCAACCATTCTCTCCACTAAACAGTTGGCTCAGTAGATGCGGTCACAAAAATCCTTGCCTCTGTTTTGATAATGGACAAATTATGGTAACCTCCAAACTCCTTCTCTGCACTATCAAAATCCATCCGACTTAAAGGCCTTGGTTATGCCATAGACTGGTCTCATCCACACACATGCCTTTTTGTTGCACTGTAACTAGGGGCCTACTTAAATTATGGCAAGACTAAACAAATTTTGCGACTGATGCCGGCATAAAGAGCAAACTCCACAGATATTTCCCGGATGTGCTCAGCAGGCTCCTCGGTGCTGGTTGACAGAGAGGCCCTGGCGGAGGAGGAGGGATGACAGGGAGGCTGCCATGTTGTATGCTGGCTGCCCATTGTGCAGCCATGCCCCTCAGGTGGAGAGGCCCTGGCAGGCAAGAAAGGATAAGGGAGTGGCCACTGTCTTGTCTGCTGCCCTTTTTGCCACCTCGCCAGCCGGCACCTTCCCCCTGGGCTGGGCCACAGCAGCAGTAAGGACCACTGGCCTCCCACTGGGGAGCCAGCTTTTTATTTTTATTAAGGTTGGTGTTTTTAAGTTGATTTTGTGGACACTCTCTGATTTCACCGTTTCTAAGAAATCCACACAATCACAGATTGAGTAGACCCTTAGGTATAACCATATTCGCTGGCCCCATGGTGGTGGTTGTTGCATTCCCCCCACCTGCCTTTTGTAGACAGATCACTAGATGGGGTCTGTTGCAGACCCCATTTCCCAGACTTCTACATAACATCACTTTGAATAGAAATATTTAACATCAATATTTCGGTCCTCAAGCAAGTTGGCCACTGATTTGTTGTTTTGTTCTGGCAAGTCATTTAATGTCTGCTGCAGTTCTTTCATTGTATAAAATTGATGTAGTAATACGTCCCTTCCAAAGACAGGTTGTAGATTAAATTGTGTTCTGGTTATTCAAACATCAAGTGATATATAAATATATGTATTTCCACGGACAGATTGTGCAAATAAATGGCTGATGTTCCTGACTTCTTTGATAAGGTTGATAGGGCCCCAAGTACCTTGTATAAGGCTTTCAAGGTCATTTTGGATTCAGTCCTAAATAAGGTGCCTTGTTTTCTAAAAGTGAACAGTGAGAAGAGCTGAAGGGCTCCTGGGTTTTAAAATTTGGATTTATACATTGCTCCTTCTCCTTCATACTTCCTCTGCTCAAGCACAGGAAGCCATTTTCATCAAGTGAAGAGCTTTGAGACAGGCATTTTATAGAAGTCTAGATAATCCACTACTTTCTGCATCTGGACAAAATACTCATCACCAGTGAGAATCAGGCACAGGGAAGATCCAAAACAGTAGGCCTCTGAGCCACAAACCAGCTAACCTGCTATAGGCCAATTGTGTCAGCAGACTTCAGCAGGCTTAGGAGCTCCTGCACGTGGTTGATGTTGGGTGGAGACCATGGGCTAGAGGAGGAGGTGCTGATGTATCACCAGCAGCACAGATGCTTCCCTCTGCTTCCCCAGATTAAAGAATTAATTGAAGCCACAATCGGCGTGAGCTCACTTCCATCTAGAAAGGGAACTGTGGGAACGAGGGCAAGTAGAAAGAGGTTGATCTTTGTGGGTACTTAACGTTCCCTTCGTGTGGCTTGTTCTATTGCCTTGGGTTTTGGGGGTTTTGTTTTTTTTTTTTTTCAGTGTTCAAGTACGCAGACCTGTTCTCCCCTCTTATGGCTGCATTTTTTTTAAACCTGTTTAAAACGTGCAAAGACCTGTCTTTCTTTTGAGTTACATTTGCGAGGCTGGGGAGAGAAAAAGCAGCAGAGCATTCTTGCCCATTGCATCTGATTGGCATAACCTGGAAATGGTGCTTGGCTGTTTTGTGAACCGAGACACTGTACTTTGACCCACCACTTGCTTATCAGTTGCATTGTTTGGTGCCTTTCCTAAAGGTTCACAGAATGGGTTAGGGCAGTAGGGGCCAAGCTTTTTGGCCGGCATGTGACAAAACAGCCCCTCGTCCTCCCTTGATTCAACTCCCATCCCTTTCCCCTGCCCTGTCTGCTGCTCTGCTTTCTACATCCTGCCCTATCTGCTGCTGCTCTGCAACCTATCTCCTTTCTGATTTGCTGTGTGCCACATGCAGGGGCTGCCCCTGCCACTTGTGTCACTCATACTGCAGTGTGGCTGCCCCGGATTAGGGTACGGTCTTGGATT